TTTTTAAAGTATAATATATCTTTTAAAATAATTAATTAAATAGATCAAATAATAGATTATATCTAAAAAATATTATTATATTTATATTATAATTAAATATATATTATATTTTATATATTATCTATATAAAAAAGATATATATATTATAAATTAATCTATAATTATTAATTTATTTATTATATCTAATTTTTTTAATCAGCAGATATAAATAATTATAATAATAATTATATCTTAATCTAATTTTAATTATATAATTAAAAACTTTTTATATCTTAATCTAATCACTAAATTATGGCCAGATTAAGGTTAAGATATAACAGTCAGGTTAAGCCACTCTAATAATAATAAATAATTATTTTGTAATTATAAGTAACTATAATATAATCTAACTATTATTATAAATAATAGTTTAATAATTATTATAAAATAATTAATAAATATACTAAATTATTAGATATATATAAATAATAGTAAGCTACTATCTTTAACTTTTACTGAACTATGCTGTGACCCTCTATATACACGCCTCCGGGCCCCTATGTTTAAATTATAAATATATTAAAGAAGAAGATTAAGCTAAAATTATATATATAAAAAAGAAGTTCTTGACAGTTAGAATATACACTGCTGAGATTAAGCTGTAAATAGACTATCAGAAAACTATTATTATCTGCAAGTCTAGAGAGATTAGAGTGGCTAACAGCCAGGTCAGGTCAGATTAATTAGAATTTTTATATCTAACTGCCAGATTATAATTAGATTAAAAAAATTTTTATATCTAATTATAATATAGCTAAAAATTAGATAATTAATTATTTTAATTATTTTTAATATTAAGATTTATTTATTATATTTTTTTAAGCTTTAGTATAATTAAGATATATCTAGATTAAATAATTATTAATCTAATTATTTTTATTATTATCTAAAAGTATATAAAAAAAAGCTTTTAAAATTAAAAAAATATAATTAAAAAAGAAATTAATATCTTGTTTATTATTATTTTTTAGAAATAATAAAAAACTTCTAGTTATATTAATAAAATTTAGCTTTTTATAAAATTATTATTCTTATAATAAAAAATATATATAAAAATATATAATTATTATTCTATTTTAGCTATATATTTTAATTATATTATAGAATATTAGAAAAACTATATATTAATTATTAATTAGAATATTAAGAATAAATATACTGCTTTTATTTTATTATTTTTTTTAAATTAAATTATTTTTAGATTTATAAATAAGATATAGCTTAAAAAGCTATTAATAAAATTAGAAACTAATAAATAATTAAAAAGATTATAAATAATTAAATTATTAAAATTAGAATAAATTAAATAGATTAAATAAATTAAATAAATTAAATAGATTAAATAAATAAAATAAATAAATAAAATATATTAAATCTATATTATAATACTATAGCTCTTATAAAAAATTCTATAAAATTTTTTTATAAATCTTTTTTATAAATATCTATTTTTTATTTTAGTTTATTATATTTTAAATAATTCTTTTTAAAAAAAAAGACTATTTTATAACTTTAGACTTCAGATATAAATTTTTATTTATTAAATTTATTTAAATAAATAAAATATAGCAGATATCTTAGCTATATATAATATATTAAAATATAATAAATTATATTTATATAAAATTATATTTTAAAATAAAATAAATTATTTTTATAGAGTTTTCTATTTTTATCTTTTTATATTTATTATTTATAAAATAGTTTTAGAATTATAAATTAATTATAATTATCTAATTTATTTTTAGAAAATATTATTAAATCTTTTTTTTTATTTCTTAAATTTTTATAAATTATAATAATATTTAAACTAAGATAAGCTTCTTAAGTTAAATCTTTTTTTTTTTAAATCTTAAGATTATATATATTATAAAAAATTAAAAGATTATTTTATATTTAATTTTTTAAAAAAAGCTTTTTATTTTCTAAAATTAGTAATAAAAGATAATCTTTTTTAAAGATTATATATAAATTAAAAAACTATTATTTTATTTTAATTAAAAAAATTATTAATAATATAAAATAATTTTTAAAAAAATATATTATTTTTTAATAAAATTTTTTATATTTACTATATTATATATCTTTATATTTTATAATATTTAAGAATTAAAAACTTAGAAATTAATTCTATAAGCTATTATCTCTATAAGAATTATAAAAAAAAATTATTATTAATTATATTTAAATAAATAATTAATTAAATATTAAATAAAGAGCTATTATAGATATTTATTTATTTTTTTAAAATAAATCTTTTTTAATTATTATTTTTCTCTAGATCTTTATAATTTATAATAAATAAAATTTTTAGAATTAAGTTTTATACTTTATAATTATCTATTATTTATTATTCTAAATTATTAAATATATTTAATTTAAATAAATAATTAATTTTACTACTTTGTTTTTCTGCTAAAAATTAAGATTTCTTAATTAAATATAAATTAAAAAATATTTTATAAAATTATTTAAAAAAATATATATATAGCTACTATTAAAGTTCTTAAATATTAAATAAATATTAATTATAATAAACTACTAGACTAGTCCTGATTAAAAAATATTTCTTAATTTAATTAAATATTTTTTAATAAAAAATATAAATTATTATAAGATTTTATTAGATTTTTAATTAATATCTAAATCTTATACTAATAAGAATCTAGCTGTAATTATTTTATTAATTTTATATAAATATAATCTTATTTATTAATTATTAAATATAATAATTAATAATATTAATAATAATAATATAATATTTAATATAATCTTAGCTAAATTTTAAACTTAACTTAATTAAAATATTTAGTTTTATAATACTTTAATTAATTCTAATTTTTTAAAAATTATTTAAAATTAGTATTATATTTTTTATTTTATTTATATAATTCAGCTTATAATTAATACTCTTTTATAAAAACTTTAGATTAAGATCTTAAATAATATTATTAAATATATATAAAAAAATAATAATAGAAATCTTAAAATTTTTTTTTTTTATTTTAAGAATTTTTAAAAAAATATATTCTAAAAACTATCTATAAAAAATTAATATAGAATTATTTTTTATAAAAAGCTTCTAAATATTTTTTATTAATTAATTTATTATATTAATTTTTAATTATAAATTCAGAAGATTATATAATTTATAAATATAAATTTTTAATATTATAAAAAATTCTTATTTATTTAATAACTTAAATCTAGCTTAGTTTATTATCTTTTTTTTAATTATAAAATCTACTAAAACTTAATCTATTTTATAATTTATTAAATATTTAATTTTTATTAAATAATTAAAAATTTTATTTAGTACTATAAATATAATAATATTAATTATTTTTATTTTATTATAATTAAGTAAAAATAGATAAAATATTTTTTTAAATTTTTATATTTTTTTTTTCTTTTTATTTTCTATTTTTTTAAAAATAATAAATCTATTATTTATAAAATCTATAATATTTATAATAATCTTTTTAATTATCTAGATTATTTAATTAACAAACTAAAAAGAAAATAGATATTTTAAAAAAAAAAATTCTTAAAAATTTATATAATATATATTAAAAATTCTAAAAATATTATTATTATATTTATTAAAAAAAAGACTATATTTATATAATTATAATTATTCTAAATTTAATATTAAAACTTAAGAAGTTTAAAAAAGATATATAATTAAATAATAATATTAATTAATATTATAAATATTAAATTATTTTTAAAAAAATATTTTTTTTTATTTTAGTTAAAATCTAATAATTAATATATTATTAATAGTTTTTAGATTATTATTAAATCTAGATAAGATCTTTTATAATATTTTTAAATATTAGAGACTCTTACCCGCAGTTAAGATATATAAAAAACTTAAGATATATCTAAATATTAAAAATATATAGCTTCTTAAGATATTTTTAATTAAATTAATATAATTCTAAATACTATAAAATATATTAATATTTTTATTTATTAAAAATCTTATTATAATTAATTTTCTATTTTTTATTAAATAATTAAAGATTTTTCTTGATTATAATTAATAATATTAATATTAAATATTTTTTTAATAATTTTTAAGATATCTGCTATTATTATTAGAGCTGTTTTAATTTTAATATAATTAAAATAATTATACTTTAAATATATATTAATTATTTTATTATAAATAAAAAATATTAGAATATATTTAATAATCTTAATCTAGATTTAATTATTTTTATACTTAAGAAATAAAAAAAGAATAAAATAATTATTATCTTTTATATTAATAAGAATAAGAATATAAATAATCTTAAAAATAATTTAAAAAATAAATTATTATTAAAATTAAAAAAACTAGTCTTATTTAAATTTTTAATTATTATATATATTTAGATAAAAATAAAAATCTAATCTTTATAATTTTTATATTATTATAATTATTATTCTAAATAATATAAAAAATAAATATTTTATATTTTTTTTTTATTTTTTTTATATTAAATTTTATAAAAATCTTTTTTAAATATAATATATTTCTTAAAATAATTAATTAAATAGATCAAATAGTAAACTATATTTAAAAAATATTATTATATTTATATTATAATTAAATATATATTATACTTTATATATTATTTATATAAAAAAATATATATATTATAAATTAATCTATAATTATTAATTTATTTATTATATTTAATTTTTTTAATTAGTAAATATAAATAATTATAATAATAATTATATCTTAATCTAATCTTAATTATACAGTTAAAAATTTTTTATATCTTAATCTAATTATCAGATTATAGCCAGATTAAGGTTAAGATATAACAGTCAGGTTAAGCCACTCTAAGAGAGATATATCAAATCTAGTATCATTCAGTATCACACCTACTTAGGTGTCTGGACACCTTTTTAGTCAAGTGGTCTGTTTGGTCTGTTACATTGGCTCTCTTGCTCACCGCCATCCCGTTCATCTGGCTGTATCTGTTTTCATAGACCGAGCTAAGTGGTGCTTGCCCCCCAGTATGATGGGAAGTGTATATCAAACCCAGTATATCAATATTAGTATCCATGAAACGTGGTATGGTTAAAGATTTGCCAAATGTTCTATATATAAGCAGTAAGGTCCAAGCATACGGGTATACCTATACCTAGCTGATCTCTCACATACCCACAAAATATTTACGGTTTGTTGATTTAGAATAATTGGATCTGAATAGGTCCTCAGAGGTGACAGGTAAAACAAGCATTAGGGGAGGAAAGAGAGATCATCCTGAGGATCTATCAGAGAAGCAGATCAGGTATAATTAATCTTCCTGCCATTTTTAACAAATCTATCCTGGTGCATTCTCGCGACGAGACAAGCAATTGGCGACCGCCCCATAGCGCGGTGTTTCCTCTGGTCCATGTTTGCCTTCAAGTTCCTCGGCCAGAGCAAGTGCGTCTCGTTTTCCACGATCCACGTCAACCAGAAGCATAAGAGGCAGAGGAAGTAATATGAGAACTGCGAGGAAGGCAAAAGCAGGTCTGATTTCACCATAGCGGTCTGTGACCATCCCAACGATCGTGGGCCCAAAAATGCTCGAGCCTTTGTCGGTAATGGCGTAAAGCGCATAAAATGCCGCCTCATAGCCTGGGGGTATCAGCTCCCCGAAAAAACTCCGACAGTATGAGGAGAGCCCGCCCATGACAAGCCCGTATATAGCACCCAGTGGATACATTTCCCACGGCTGCTGGAGACCCAGGAATCCTAGTTCTCTGATTGCTGGGACAAATCCTAACAGTCCATAGATTGGCACGAGTTCGAATAAGACAATGCAGGCTATTATGGTTTGCGATGCACGGAGATTGAACGCTCGTGACACGAAACTCCATGAGAAAGCCCCCAAAACCCCTGCAATCATCGCAACCACGTTAATTAGTCCTAATTCAGCCGGGGGCATATCCAGTTGTGTTTTTGCAAAGAGGACAGCGGTCCCGCTAACTGTCGCTATGCCGTCGCTCAGTAAGAACCAGGCTGCAAGGAACAGCAAGATATCTCTCAGGCGCCGTGCCCGCATCGCTGTTTGACCAAGAGATTTCCAAGCATATGCCATGTATATGATCCAGGATCCATATATCTTTCCGCTTTCAGCACATGGCAAAGGCGGGCCCGGCCGGGGTCGTAGCCAAATCGCTGCAGGTACTGTGAAGATAAACCACCAAAGTCCAATTAAAAAGAGGACAAGACGCAACGAAAACGCGGTTTGATGGGTTTTGACGACCACAAAAATACAGATCGTTTGCAGTATCACAGCGCCGATGTAGCCGATGCCTATTCCATTCGAGGATATCGTTGTGGACAATTCTAGTTCCTGAGAAGTCCTATCATGACATACTTGAGGCGCGTCTTCCACAGATGATGTATGGGAGCACTGTCGAGACTGAAGTAGTGGTGTTGCCTCAGAACTTTCGATCTGACTTGAACCATCGGCAGTAGCATTGAATTCATCGTCGGGACGAGCGAGCAATCGGCCTTCGTTATCGGTTCCGAGCAATAAAGGATGGTGACGAACCAGCAGAGGAAGAAAGGAGTTCAGTAGTACGAAGGAAGCCCCGAAACAGGTGTTGGCTATAATTGCGAATAGCCCACCGAGGATATATGACCCAGGGGAGACTGCAAGAAACATCGTCATAGCAGCAGAGCCAATGATAGCAAATATCACCAATAACATTTTGCGATACCTCCCGTGGTCTGCAGCACCTGATACCGATATTATCAGGATGGCTTGGGCGAGAACACTCATTGAGAATGTATACATAGCGAAGCTTGCCGTATTAACTTCGATACCGAGGATATTAATAATGCACTGGCTTGCCCCCGGTACATCAGGTTTCGCATATGCAAAGACATTTGAAAGTAAGTTCAAGTTCTCGAAAGGCGACGTCTGTTGTGCGGGGCTCCGAGAAATGCTGCAAGGTGTTGTTTTATCCAACAAAAGAACACCACGTTCTCGCGCCATTTGCTCCAGTGTGATGGGAAGGAAAGATCCTAGGAAATATTAATAGGGGAATGGCATAGTTATCATGTCTGGAATAAGAAGTCCATACCCATAGCGCACACTGCAAAAACCTCTGCTGCCCAGCCATAGCTATACCACCCTGCAAGTTCCTTCCTGGATGTCGGTCGGGCGTCATTGCTAGAAACTTGTGGGTGTGAAGAGCAGGTTGGGTTTACCCGGCTTTCGATTGTATTAGTGACAATCTGCATAGTTCAAAGCTCACATAGCTAGGATTTATAGAGTTGTGGGTAGATACGCTCTAAGCATATCTATAGAACCTGGTTAGCCACCCAGGACCTGGCTAGCTAGGGGATGTCCATAAGATGTAGAAGGCCGAAAGCACATACCGAGATGGCAGTTGGACACCCAATGATATTGTATGGTTTATGAATAAAGTTTGTCTCAAGAAACACCTATAATTTGGGTAGAGGAAAGGTTTGCTTTTATGTTTTGCGGTTGAGTGAAGAATAATAATATTGAGGATGTACTTGTGAACCCACCTCCTTTATTACAGGTTCTTCTCAGTCCGGGCTGATTGCTTGACCGCCAAGTTTACTATGGAAAGCATCTACAGTGCCTAGAAAAAAGTCTGTCTCAAAATATACTAGTGGGGGCATTAAATATATTTTAATTAATAATAATAAAAATATTAGATAATAAAAACTGAGTTATAAATCTAATTAAAAAATTTATAATAATATTTTATTATAGTGGCTAATGGCCAGGATAGGTTAATAATAATAGTTAAGAAATTTAGATAACAGTTAAAGTATTTTATAAGAATTAAAATAAATATATAATTATTATTTAAATATTAAGTATAATCTAAGCTAGATAATTATATAATTAATTTTTAAATCATATAAATATAATATATAGATATTATCTTAAAATATTTAATAATTAAAAATTATTATATAAAATAGATCTAGAATTAATTTATTATATATTAAATATAGTCTAAATATATTGGCTAATATTTAAAATATAATTTATAAATAAATATAAGATATTTTTCTAAATTTAATTTTAAAACTTATATTTTTATAATTTATTTAGATCTAAATATACTTTTTAAAAGATTAGTTTTTAATCTGTATTTTAACTATTAGTCACTCTATATTTTATATTACTGCTTATATTAGCAGTACTACTTTTTATTTAATATTTAATTATATAATTCTAAGCTTGCTTTTCAGATTCTGAATTTTTTTAAAGATCTTAAAATATATTTTTCTATAAAAACTTTATATAAAATTCTTAATTAATAAAGAGTATGTTAGAAATAAAATAAAAAGATTGATTATATTTATAATTATCCTTAGAGTGGCTAGGCTTGTCAAAATACCGAGCCCGAGCGGGTTGGAGATGATTAGAGTGGCTTAACCTGACTGTTATATCTTAATCTTAATCTGGTCATAATCTAACAATTAGATTAAGATATAAAAAATTTTTAACTATATAATTAAGATTAAATTAAGATATAATTATTATTATAATTATTTATATCTATTAATTAGAAAGATTAAGTATAATAAATAAATTAATAATTATAAATTAATTTATAATATATATATTCTTCTTATATAGATAATATATAAAATATAATATATATTTAATTATAATATAGATATAATAATATTTTTTAAATATAATTTAATATTTAATCTATTTAATTAATTATTTTAAGAAATATATTATATTTTAAAAAAGACTTTTATAAAATTTAATATAAAAAAAATAGAAGAAAATATAAAATATTTATTCTTTATATTATTTAGAATAGTAATTATAATAATATAAAAATTATAAAAATTAGATTTTTATTTTTATTTAAATATATATAATAATCAAAGACTTAGATAAGACTAGTTTTTTTAATTCTAATAATAATCTATTCTTTAAATTATTTTTAAAATTATTTATATTTTTATTTTTATTAATATAAAAGATAATAATTATCTTATTTTTTTTTATTTTTTAAATATAAAAATAATTAAATCTAGATTAAGATTATTAAATATATTCTAATATTTTTATTTATAATAAAATAATTAATATATATTTAAAATATAATTATTTTAATTATATTAAAATTAAGACAGCTCTGATAATAATAATAAATATTTTAAAAATTATTAAAAGAATATTTAATATTAATATTATTAATTATAATTAAGAGAAAATTTCTAGTTATCTAATAAAAAATAGAAAACTAATTATAATAAAATTTTTAATAAATAAAAATATTAATATATTCTATAATATCTAGAATTATATTAATTTAATTAAAGATATTTTAAAAAATTATATATTTTTAATATCTAGATATATTTTAAGTTTTTTATATATTTTAATTATAGATAAGAGTCTCTAATATTTAAAAATATTATAAAAAATCTTATCTAGATCTAATAATAATCCGAAGATTATTAATAATATATTAATTATTAAATTTTAATTAAAATAAAAAAAGAATTTTTTAAAAATAATTTAATATTTATAATATTAGTTAATATTATTATTTAATTATATATTTTTTTTAAATTTCTTAAGTTTTAATATTAAGTTTAAAATAATTATAATTATATAAATATAGTCTTCTATCTGATAAATATAATAATAATATTTTTAAAATTTTTAATATATATTATATAAATTCTTAAGAATTTTCTTCTTTTAGAATATCTATTTTTTTTCTAATTTATTAATTAAGTAATTCAGATAATTAAAAAGATTATTATAGATATTATAAATCTTATAAATAATAAACTTATTATTTTTTAAAAAAAAATAAAAAAAAAAAGATATAAAAGCTTAAAAAAATATTTTATTTATTTTTACTTAATTATAATAAAAAAAAATAATTAATATTATTATATTTATAATACTAAATAAAACTTTTAATTATTTAATAAAGATTAAGTATCTAATAAATTATAAAATAAATTAAGTTTTAATAGATTTTATAATTAAAAAGAAAATAATAGACTAAGCTAGATTTAAGTTATTAAATAAATAAAAACTTTTTATAATATTAAAAATTTATATTTATAAATTATATAATCTTCTAAATTTATAATTAAAAATTAATATAATAAACTAGCTAATAGAAGATTTCTAGAAATTTTTTATAAAAAAAAGCTTTTTATTAATTTTTTATAAATAATTTTTAGAATATATTTTTTTAAAAATTTTTAAAATATTAAAAAAGATTTTAAAACTTTTATTATTATTTTTTTATATATATTTAATAATATTATTTAAAATCTTAATTTAAAGTTTTTATAAAAAATATTAATTATAAACTAAATTATATAAATAAAATAAAGAATATAATACTAATTTTAAATAATTTTTAAAAAATTAAAATTAATTAGAATATTATAAAATTAAATATTTTAATTAAGTTAAGTTTAGAGTTTAGTTAAGATTATACTAAATATTATATTATTATTATTAATATTATTAATTATTATATCTAATAATTAATAAATAAGATTATATTTATATAAAATTAATAAAATAATTATAGCTAGATTCTTATTAATATAAGATCTAGATATTAATTAAAAATCTAGTAAAATCTTATAATAATTTATATTTTTTATTAAAAAATATTTAATTAAATTAAAAAATAATTTTTAATTAGAGCTAATCTAGCAGTCTATTATAATTAATATTTATTTAATATTTAGAAACTTTAATAGCAGCTATATATATATTTTTTTAGATAATTTTATAAAATATTCTTTAATTTATATTTAATTAGAAGAACTTAATTTTTAATAAAAAAATAAAATAATAAGATTAATTATCTATTTAAATTAAATATACTTAATAATTTAAAATAATAAATAATAAATAATTATAAAATATAGAACTTAATTCTAAAAATTTTATTTATTATAAATTATAAAAATCTAGAGAAAAATACTAATTAAAAAGATTTATTTTAAAAAAATAAATAAATATTTATAATAGCTCTTTACTTAGTATCTAACTAATTATTTATTTAAATATAATTAATAATAATTTTTTTTTATAATTCTTATAAAAATAATAGCTTATAAAATTAATTTCTAAGTTTTTAATTTCAAGATATTATAAAATATAAAAATATATAATATAATAAATATAAAAGATTTTATTAAAAAATAATATATTTTCTTAAAATTATTTTATATTATTAATAACTTTTTCTAATTAAAATAAAATAACAGTTTTTTAGTTTATATATAATTTTTAAAAAGAATCATTTTTTATTATTAATTCTAAAAAATAAAAAGTTTTTTTTAAAAAATTAAATATAAAATAATTTTCTAATTTTTTATAATATATATAATCTTAAGATTTAAAAAAAAAATCTAATTTAAGAAGCTTATCTTAGTTTAAATATTATTATAATTTATAAAAATTTAAGAAATAAAAAAAAAGATTTAATAATATTTTTTAAAAATAAATTAAATAATTATAATTAATTTATAATTTTAAAGCTATTTTGTAAATAATAAATATAAAAAAATAAAAATAAAAAACTTTATAAAAATAATTTATTTTATTTGAAGATATAATTCTATATAAATATAATTTATTATATTTTAATATATAGCTAAGATATCTATTATATTTTATTTATTTTAATAAATTTAATAAATAAAATTTTATATTTAAAATCTAAAATTATAGAATAGTCTCTTTTTTTTAAATAAAATTATTTAAAATATAATAAACTAGAATAAAAAATAGATATTTATAAAAAAGATTTATAAAAAATCTTTATAAAACTTTTTATAAAAACTATAATATTATAATATAGATTTAATATATTCTATTTATTTATTTTATTTATTTAATTTATTTAATCTATTTAATTTGTTTAATCTATTTTATTTTAATAATCTAATTATTTATAATCTTTTTAATTATTTATTAGTTTCTAATTCTGTTAATAGCTCTTTAAGCTATATTTTATTTATAAATATAAGAATAGTTTAATCTAGAAAAAATAATAGAATAAAAATAATATATTTATTTTTAATATTTTAATTAATAATTAATATATAATTTTTCTAATATTTTATAATATAATTAAAATATATAATTAAAATAAAATAATAATTATATATTTTTATATATATTTTTTATTATAAAAATAATAATTTTATAAAAAACTCAATTTTATTAATATAACTAGAATTTTCTTATTATTTCTAATAAATAATAATAAAAAAAATATTAATTTTTTTTTAATTATATTTTTTTAATCTAAAAAGCTTTTTTTTATATATTTTTAGATAATAATAAAAATAGCTAGATTAATAATTATTTAATCTAAATATATCTTAATTATACTAGAGCTTAAAAAAATATAGCAAATAAATCTTAATATTAAGAATAATTAAGATAATAAATTATCTGATTTTTAATTATATTATAATTAAATATAAAAATTTTCTTAATCTAATTATAATCTGGTGA